CTTCTCGATATCATAGCTCCAGCATGAGGTGGCTGAGCATCATAGATGGTGAATTTGGTTCCCAGAAAATTAGATCTGCATGAAACAGGAACTATGATGAGAATACAAGAAACTGACTTATACAAATTAAAATGAAGCAACGGCCAATAGTAGATAATTTCATGGAATGAAGTTCATATAAGTACATGCAAATGTAATGAAGTGAAAGATATATATAAGCTGCAGCTCATGACAAGGTAAGGAATTCATCAATTGTATCTAGCATATTCATAAATGTAGAGCCCGTACGGAAACCTTATCAGCACAGTTTCTAAAATGGAAAGCATCTGTAAAAACATCAATGCTCTAACAAATGAAAACTGTGAGCTTTTGCAAATGTCAAATTTCAGTGGACGAGGAATTGGGAAATCAATTCAAAATAATGCTTTGGGTTCAGGAATGCAACTTTAAGCATTTAATGCAGATGAACAAACTAAACTAATCTGGTTCTGTCCAATTTATACTACAATTGTTAATTTAGATTAACCATTCAGGAAGAGAATATAAGTTAGACCAATGTGACACATGATGAAGCAACCCAAAGTACAATCATGGTTCCATGATTTTCATAACCATCACCCTAGTATTTCTATGCAATTATTTGCACTTCCACAAATCTAGCACTTTAATCTTCACATGAACCAATGGAATACACTATTTGACCATCACCTCAGTTTCCCGATATATGTAGCACTCGTCCTTGACATATCATCTGCATGAAGGGAGATGAGATAGTCGGTGCATGTAGGACGTCGACATTTTCGTGCAGCGAGCAGGAATTTTCCATCATCTGTCAATGTTGTTAAATGTTGAGTTTATAAGTGATAGCTGAATAAAAAAATAAATGCAGACAAAGGAAAATCTGAACATAACTTAAACAAGAACAAAAAAAGGTTGCTTATTTCAGGAATTTTACAACAAACAAAACATTGTAAATTTGATTTCTTCTTCACAACAATGCCAGTACATCAGTGAGTAAGAGAAAGCAGGCATATCTAAATATCCATATGTTTCTAAACTTGGTCCATTGAAAAATCATGAATAGATCAATTTTTATGGTCAATTTTTGCTGTTGATGAAATAAGACTAATTTCATAATTATAAAACCTACTTAATTGATGATACAATTAGAATCCATTGACAATTAATAGAAGTTAATCTGACAGGAATATCTTGGTAAAATTAAAAAATTGCATGTAGCAAAAGTTGCTGAATAGAAATTTGCAGAATATTTAACAAAAAAAAGGCAGCTCCCGCAAAATCTCCAAATATCAAAATTTCAAAAAAGGATACTAGGATATAAGATGAGAAAATCTTACCTTCATTAAGACCAAGGTAAAGATGGTAAGTTTGTGTGCTTCGGTTCCGCCTTATGAAACATTGGAGAGGAAAATCCCTTGGGCCCGGCTGCATATTGTAGATAATAAATTTTGTGGACAATGTGATGAAATATAAGAGAAGTCAGATGGATACAGATGTTTACCAAGGTAATGTCACCAGCATGATATTAGAAATATTTGCTGGATCACATAAAAATTAAAACAGTATGTAAATCCATTTGGCAAAGTTGCAAATCAAGACAAGCAAAGGTAATGTGCATCATAAAGTTAGTGTCTATCAAGATCCCAGTTCCTAAAGAATGAAGAAAGAAGATAGACTTCTTCATGGGAAACAGAAGAAAATCATTTGGGAAGTCTCCACCCACCACTCCTGAATCCAAGTTGCAGTAAGCAACATGACAGAAGTAATACTAAAATGTCAAGAGAGAAACAAAAGGCACCAAATATTAAACATTGCATTATCACTGATCACATAAACCAGTAATTTTCTTTAAGAAAATCGAAATTCTTCCTAAAAAAAGGTCAAAAGGGCCTTATTTTTTTAGAGTTTAGAAACCTAAATTTTGACATCAACTATACTAAGACAAAGATTAGCGAAACAAAATTATAATTGAACAAGCTGATTTGATAGCCAAATAAGTAGTTCTCATTTATACCTGCTTCAAGGAGATAGGAAAGGTTAGCTTGCCCGACACCTCAGGCGTCTTCACGATCTCCTTCATCGTGTCCCTCCAACTCCGGCACACCCCAGCACAGGCCACCACGTCCTTCCGCTGCGGCCACCAGCCCTCGGCCTCCTCGATCCTCGTCAGCACATCCCTCAGCAGTTCCGGGGGCATGTTCGCCCAGCAGCTCTGACTCAGCGCATCCACCAGCGGCGGCCCGAGGGCATCATGCACCGTCCGCCGCGACGTTGACCTCAGCCCATACCCCAGCTTCACCTCCAACCCCTTCCTCGAGATGCTCCCCAATTCATCCCTCATATCCTGAATTATGCTCTTGAACGACATCGGGCGCCACCAAAATCTTCCAACAAGCCACTAACCTTCTCTCGAAACCGATCCAATCTCGGCATCCGACAGCAGATCTCCGGATCCAGCATGAGAAGTCATCGCAGCTGCCGCCCCACAACTTAGCGAGCCACAGCAACAGATCGATAGGACCTTAATCCGTAAGAAACCAGAAATCTTCACGCAAAACAAGGGCCGAAAGCAACCATCGTCACCGACATCATCGTCGTCGTCATCGTCCCTTCAAAGCTCCGATTGACACACAACAACAGTAAAAAAAGAAAAAGGAAGAACCGGAACCGAATCCTGGAATTTGTTCCTTCAAAGCACCAATTTCGACGAGAAATTGGGGATCCGTAGGAGAAATCCGCGCAAGGAAGGAAGGAAGGCGAGGGGAAGACAGAGAGAAGTAGGTGAAGGGAGACAATTATTTCAACGATGATTGAAGGAATTAGGGTTTGTTGTCTTGTGGAGGACAAGGTCGGGTTAATCGTGCCGTTCCTGTCTCACCCTGCTCTTACCAATGATTCCCTGTTTGGGAGTAGAGAACTGTCACAACGGAATAATTAGTAATTAATTATCCTGCTCTAATTATTTGCGTCAGTCCTCAGAAGGAATAACGATGGGGCCCCCAAACGAGATAATGGCCCCACCAATACAAGCTGTTCCGTTCAATTTACCTTAATACATCTATAAATAATATTGATTGATGCCTCTCCCAAAATAAAATAAAAACTCCAAAATAAATTAATTATTTTTTTAAAAAAAATAAATATATTTTTATTATATTAAATAATAATTTTTTGATATACACGTCATTTGATATAATATTAAAAAAATAAGATAATAAAAACTACATTAATGACTTCATTATTATCAGAATTTTTTGTTTTTAGTTTCTTCTGAGATTTTAAAGAAATTTGTTGGTCATACCTCGTTCATTTTATAATATATAAATAATATTTGGAAAGGACCACAACATTTATTGAACAAAATGATTCTAAATTATTTTGAAACAAATAAAGGATGGAAATAGAAAGGCAATTAATTGGTGTAGGGCTACACAACCAAGCTTGGAATGTGAGACATTATGATGTGCTAGATAAGAATGGAATGGGTCACTCCAAAATCACTTTGATGTGTAGCTCAAGATTCCTTCTTTCCCCATATCGCCATGTTCTTTTATTTTTTTTATTATATATATATAGGTGAATTTTTGCAAAATATCTTTTTTTGGGTTTTCCCCAATAAGTGTTCCTGATTTTTCAAAATTATCAAATAGTACCTCTATTTTTTGTATTATTTTGAATATTTTTATTTAATAATTAGCCATTTACCATTCTCTCTCTCTCTCTTTTAACATCAAGAAAACGCATTTATTGTAAATACTATAACGTACTATAAAAATATTGTAACACAGTATTTTTATACTTTGGTAGAGTGTTTCTAAACTATATTATAATATTTTCAATAATATCAAAAAAATATTATGTTATAATATTTTTATACTAGTGTTTTTATGATATTATTAAAAACACGATAATACAGTATAAAAATACTATAATTTAATCGGTTCACCCGATACATCGGTACATAAGAAAAGATATTTAAAAAAGATATATGATTGATGGGTAATTCTCAAAAATATCTAAAAATACAGGATTTTCTTAGAAAATCGCTCAATATATATTACATATATAATATATAACATTTTCAGGAAACTAAAAAAATTTTATTATTTTTCTCATTTATTTTTTGAATAATTTTTTTTTACTTAAAATATTTTTAAGTATATATATATATATATACATACATACATACATACATACATACGTACGTAAGTACGTATGTAAATCTTTTTCTGTAATTTTCAATGAATTTGGACATTATGCATGCATTTATTTTAGATATTATTGCTACATAATCATCCTCGTATAATAGTACCGTGGAAGAACTTTGTGCAAGTTTCTTCATACTACAACTTAAGTTAGAACTCCTGAATTGATGCCATCAATATTGGTGATAGTTTTCATTAAACCTTTATAAATTAACTTGAAGTTTTCTTCCACTCTCGACACATTAATGACTGTATAAATCACTCAAACTCTTATGTTAATGAGAGTACAGTAAAGTTAATTTAAGTTTTTTCTCATGTTCAATATCCAACTAAATGGTGTTTATATACATAACTAAATAATTCACCAATCAAACCTTTATACTAAACACAGTACATTTAAGTAATTTGAGGCATCAATTTAATTACTTTTTGCCTTTTTTAATTATAACCCTTCAAACACTTAGAAATATCAAAATATAGATAGAAATATTAATTATGAGATTATCTGTATTTCAAGGATAAGACTCATAGAGTCAAATTGATAGAATTTTCTTTTCGATTTGAAGTCTTATCCAATATGTTTGAAGGTGTCAATCAGCTTAGACTATAAATACCTTGATAGTTTATTATAATATTACATATTCTATCTTTATCACTTATTTTTACATAATAATAATAATAATTTTAATGATTTATTAATATATAAGTAAAGAATTATATCATTTGGTAATATAGAAAAAAAATTATGCAATCAATATAAATTTCATACTCTGCATGCTCCAGTGGCCATCACTTGCAGGAACGCCACATGCTCCACTGCCCACCGGCGTCGCTGGCCTTTCTCGGTCGGATCTCACTCTTCAGCCCCAGCTCGCGATCTGTCTGCTGACGTCCGAAGTCAGCTTGCCTGGAATGGCCTTCTTCGGGAGCGAACCTTTCCACCCCATGCCGCCGACTCCACCGCTGAAGCATCCATCGGATCCTGCATGCTTGGTCGACGACGAAGGCGTGCCGGTGAACGGGCAGGCGGTGCGGTTCGCGGCCCGAATGCTCGAGCTCGACTCGCTAGGCCATGGCGGCGTCAAGATCAGCACGGCAGTCTCTCACACGGTTACGTTACCCTGAAGAGTCGTCACATCTGCCGGCCATTTCTCAAGGCCGTTGCCGGTGCCACCAAGGAGATAGATCCCGCGGACGCCCACGGTGAAGCCGTTCAAACTCTGCATCTGATCCTTCCCGGACGGCAAGAACCGGACCATATTTGGTGCTAACTCCATGAAACAGGTCAGCCAAAACACAGCGTGCTTGGCGTTCGCGGATGCCAGTCCGAAGGCGGAGCAGGCGGTGGTGATCAGTGGATTTCAGACGGAGAGACCAAGGCTAAGTTATAGATCCACTCTGTACGCCATGAAGACTACGTGTGGAAACTTCGACCTCACTCTTCGGAGTTGGAAGTTGAAATGGCATTATATTGCTTCGAATAAAGAGTTACAGTGAAGATGCTGTCATCACACTCTTCTTTATGACTCATTAATGGTGAGTCTACGGTTGAGTAATCTTTATCATCTCCAATATTCTTTAGGAGTCTCTTACTCATCCAAGTAGTGTTACTTGAGAGGCCTTCCATGAACAGCGTGCAAGCATAGGGAGTCAAGCAAGAGGGTTGCAGCAACAGAGTTCTGGAGTTCTTGCACAAAACAAAACCATTTTATTAATTGGTGAAACATAGATTTGTTTTCCACCACCAAAAAACGAAGAGAAAAGGTTTAAGCGCAGAGAGACATATCAGTAAAGATCATATATATATCATGTATATGCATGCGGTAGCTGCCAAAATGTAGGAGCTGCAAACCCAAAACCAACACCGGCAAAAGAAGACTTCAAACAAGTTTCCCGCAAGAACTCCAACCCAAAATCACTGCTTTCGAGCTGCTTTATCTACACCCCTGTAGGCAGATCACCTGAAGGCGCCGTGCTGATCCCAGTTCGCAACTGGGCACTGGGAATCGAAGCTGAGATCGATGGAAGGCCTGTGAGACCTCACCGGAGCCGCTTGACCTTTCAGGCGCGGCGATCTCTGATGAGCCAATGGAGGTTTGCTGGACTTGCTGCTGAGGCTTATGTCGCTGACGACAGAATGGAATGGTGACAGTATCTTGTTTGAGTAGGGGGTGAACTGATCGAAGCAGACGTCGCCGGCGCCCGCCCGCTGTTTCGGCGTGCTCATCGACCTGAACCGTGCCTTGGTGGATGCTGTGGATGCCATGTAGCTGGGGAAGGAAGGAGAGCTTGAGAAGGAGTCATCGTCTCTGACAGAGGTTGTTCTTGACCTGATGAATGACCTTCTGGCCAAGTCTCTCAGTTGAGCTTCCTCTGCTTTCTCCTTGTCCAAAACGAGTGAGCCCGGTACAGGGCTTGGCTGATCACGATAACCTTTCTCTGGGACTGGCAGGGGATTGATCTCCACGACATCTTTGTCCAGTGGTTGTGCCCCAACCCACTCTTCGAGCCACCTCCACCTGTTGTTCAGGTCATCAGCCTGCACTTCTTTGCCTGTTGGTGTCGATGGTCTCTGGGCATTCCTTCTCTCCTAATGGACCACGAGAAGTCAGACATGGATGGATGACCACTGAACTGATCAGGAGAAAAGACGGACCTGATATGAAGAGGCATACTCCAAAGCTCTCAATCGCTTTACTGCAGCCTCTCTCCTGCTTCTGAGTATGGCATTGATCTCTTCCTTGGACAATATGCTGCTGTCCCATCTTCTCTCACTGTTCTTATGAAGCTTTGCAAGACGGAAAGATACAGGAATTACTACCTCTATTGCCGGAAAAATTCACCGGGCGAGCAAATTAGGAACTTACTGTCAACTTCAGGTCATCTGATTCCTTGGGCCTGGCATGAACGATTTCTTTAAGTTCACAAGCTTGTTCTTCCGAAGCTCTCGATCTGCTAGCACAGGCCTTTGACTGAATCCTCATCAGTGACTGCAAACCCTGGAGAGTAAGACTGGTCTGACGCCTCACCGCTTGGCCACGAACAAGAGCCTGCAGCCTAACCAAGCCCTTCAATGCTCGCAAAGCTTTTCTTGCCTGCAAGAAATCATATACTTTGTAAATCTCGATGATTTGTTTTCATCATAAAGCATGCATTTTTCAGATTGGAAGATAAATCTATGAAAACCAAAAAGAGAAAAGATCAATATGACAATCGAAAATCCTTCGGTATCCACCACAATTTTCGTGTAGAATGCTAGTAGGATCAAGCGAAGTGAAGCTGTGTGTGAACTTACGAGGTGTCCACGAAAGGTAGCTTGAATCTTAATAGCTGCAGTTTCAAGTCTCTGATGGTAAGGTGGATTTCCGGTAAGGCGAACCACCTGAGCAGCAGCCTGAGCAGCAGCAACAGCGGCCTCAGCAGCTGCTGCAGTCGCGACTGCAACCGCCATTGCGTGCTTGCTCTGCTCTTCTTCTGCTTCCTTGAGTGATCTCGCGTTCATCGTTGATGGAACTGGAAGGGCCGGCGAGCATTTGGACTTGAGCCTTAAGACCAGCCATCTCCTTCTCCTCTCCTTCTGCAATAGGGTAAACATAAGGTGACGATCTAATATCTCATCTAATATATATACGTAAAGCTTACGATGCAGAGCTCTGACCTTTTCTGTCTTTGCATTAGAATCGGAGACAAAGAATCTCTTCACTCGATCAAACCAACTTTTCCTCCTTGCCATAAGATAATTGTCACAAAATCCTGAATTTTACAGTCGATTTTAGTTATTTTCTATGATCTAAGAATGACAAAACCAAAGATCAGCCTAAATTTGCAGGTATATGTTCTCGACCATCGACAACCATTAAGATCGATATGCTGCTGCTTGTGTCGATCTTAATTCTCTAAGAAGAAAGATGTTCTTAGATGCTGTGTTGATGAACAGCAGCTTCACTCTGGTCACTACTTGAGATCAGTGGCTGAGCAGATGAAGATGAAACTTTGGCACAAATAGTTAATCGGATAGGATTCAATATGGCTGCCATCAAAAGACAGAATAGATGTGAATTGAGATCCTATGCAAAAAAGAACATCTACCTAAAAGAACATGGAAGCTTGTTGCAGTATCAGAAAATTCGACAATAGTTCTGTAAGATAGGGAATAAGGATAATGACATGATTGTAATCATTCATTTGATTCTTTCTGCAATCATTGATTTCTTTTCAGCCACCCATGATCTTATACCAAGAACAGGGCTCATCATCATAGAGCTGATCCATGGAAAGCTATTGCTCTCCGCCGAATAGAAAGAGGAACAGATTAATGAGATCCATCCCTATGCATCAAACGTAAATCGTGAGAAAAATCGCCAATACTTTCCTCGCTCAAACAAAAAGCAAAATCTAAACAGAGAATAACCCGGTCAAAGTTCATTGATCCAATTAGCATCAGACATAAACTCAACTGACGCTTCAAGATGTTCTTCTACACTGATCTAATCCACACAAAAACAATTGCTTACCGATCAGTTCTTCAGTGATATTTTGGGAGCTGAACTCAGAGACTCCATTAACAACCAGATCCAGCGTTTCACGAAGGAGAAACAAACCATGGCTCTCTTTAGCTCTCGGCCTCTCTTCTTCTACCTCCACTGGCGTTTTGCTAGGGCCTTCTTCCTGTTGGATCCATGCAGTAGGTGGCAAAAAGGAAGAGGAAAGGACTGTCCACAAAAAGCCAGACTGTTTCCACAGGTCTGCATGTTATTGCCACACTACCACAACTCCAGTCTCTCACTTACCCCAACCACCCAAAGGTCACTCCATGCTTGCTGTCAAAGACTCAAAAGTCTTGGGAAGTCGATCTCGAGAAAACTGGTCGAACGCAGTTGCTGCTTGCAGAAGCTCGTCATGTGCTCCATTGATGTCCATCGCAGACGAGACGGGCGTCGCTTAGCACGAGAACGAGACCTGGCGAGGTGCAGTGGATGATGCCCGCAGTGCGACCGCGTGGGTCCGTCACACCTGTCTCTGCGGTGTCTACAGCCTATATTCCCATAGTTTTCACCCACCCTTCAGAACTACCAGTGGAAGTATAATCTCCATGCATGTCTCTTCTCCATGAAAACAAGTGGGTTTGTAGTACTCCAATGATGGAAGCCGATCCAAAGACAAGGTGACCTGGAAAGTGGATGCCTGTACTGCCACCGCTTCAATAATGCCCGTCCTCACTGTTTGCTGCTGATCACAGATGGTGCTGGTTTTGTCATCGAACAACAGTAAAAAGGATGCTGAGCAGTGTTGCTCGGTGTTTTCAGGTCAACGAAGAAGTAATAAGGGGGATAAGTGGGGGTTACGTCGTCACCTTCATGATATCGTTTCATGGCGATGCACGTGGTTCCACCCAAGAATGTGTCGGCTATCATGGCGGCTACATGTTGCATTGACGACCTCTCGAGAACATGTGGGCCGAGACGTGACTCATGTCTCCATTCGGACTACACATTGCGTCTGAGCATGCATTTGCTTTCGAACCACATTCGAATCTTGTTCGAGTCAATTGCATCGTTATTGGGCCGTACATGGGCCGAGCCGGTAGGAGACGATCGATGACTTTTTGATCTAAATATCTCCGCTCCAATCGTCTTCCCGCTCATGTTTGATTGTCCACTTTCTCCATCTCCGCTTCCCGTTTGCCCCCAAAACCCTACCTTTAATTGGTCTCAGATTCGATGCTATTTTGGCATCTGATATCGGTTTCTCCCACCTTTATCTCAGGTACGAAGTCTTAGGCGCTTAGGAATTTTGATTTCGGGGGGTGGATGGAGTCGCTCAACACCAAACTGTACGAAAAATACAAGAAATTGAAGGTGCTTCTTTTCCCATTCTCGCCTCTGTCTCGTTTGGGCGCTCAAGTATCTGGTTGTTCTTTTTTGTGATTTGTGCTCGCTCTTCTCAGAAAAGGAAGTTCTTTGAGGAGGAGGGGTGGAACGATACAAAAGATGCTGATCTGAGGAGTTATCAATCTGGTAGAGTTTTTAATGTTGCTGGGAACCCCTCGATCATATTTGCACAACGTTTTTTTACTAGAAATATTCGATGGGCTTGAAAATCGAGTTTCTTGCAGCTGTGGAGGACCTGATTGAAGAATTGAAGAATACGAATGAGCGGCTTCGTGCGAAATTGTAAGTTTTAATCGACTGATGACTTGAAGTAATTGGAGCAGTCTTACTTATCAGGAAAGTGAAGAAAGATTGAATTTTGTGCTACTCTGATTCCAGGTATTCCATTCAGGAGCAGTCTGCTGAATGCGAGAAGTTACTGCTTGAAGAGAGCAAGAAATGTAAGGAAAAAATGTGTCTTTATCTTTTTTATGAACTCAGATTCTTGTTGTTTTGCATTGATTTTTAGCCACGTAGATCAGGATAATTCTGGTACTTCAGAACTTCTTAGGGTGACTGATCCTGCATTGTAGCAACATCAAATAACATTAAATAATTTGTCGATGGATTTATTCTGTTTGATGGTTTTATTTTATTTTTGGGTGATTTCCTTATTTTCTCATGTTCTAGTCTGGACAATGTGGTCTTGTTTAGGACAAAAGTGATAAATTTAGGTTGTCATGTTCGAGCTTCTGTATGTGGTGCTATGATTGTGGCCTGGGAAGTTCTTAACTTTCCTTTGGAGTTTGACATTTATGACTGCAAAATGTTGATTTTTATCGGCAGCCAAGGAGCTCTCAGATGAAGTTGGAAGACTTCAGAATCGTTTAGCGGAGCAGAACGACATAAATGACAATTCATTGTTGACATCTCCTTGTCCAATACCTGGAATTAGTTTCACAGAGATGCCTAAAAGTTCATCAACACAGAAAACACCATACTTATGTGAGGAAAATGGGACTCAAAATCAAGAAGTAGTTTTCCTCACTGATGATAGCTATAAAGTGGAGAACAAGGTGGTGAGTGATTGATATTGGCTTACAACACTTTTCTCATCATGTTTATAAATGTTCATCATCAAATGATTGATTTTGAAATCAAATTTCTGCATCTTTTCATTCCTCGGTTGGGATGTTGTCAGCCAGACTGCTGCAGAAAACACTTGGCCGGTTCAAGTATGTCTCGGAGTATATAACTTGCTATCAGTCTGCTTGTCCTTTCTGGAAGCATTTACCATAATTTTATTTAATTATTTGCAGGTGATGCTTCAGAAGATTTTAGCAATTGTGTATTCCAGACTCTTACAAATTTTTTAGTCGGAATGGATTTCTCTGTCGATAACCAAGCTGAAAGTCTATGTCTTTTGGTTGTTCACAAAAGGAGTGGTAATTTTTTGTATACCTAGTCAGATAATTTCTTTCTTTGATTTTACAAGTTTCCAGTTTATTTTTTTTTATATATTGCTAATATTGATTCCCATATCGGTCTGGTGCTATTTTTAGTGTCAGAGGTGATTGCTTTTTTCTCTTCATTTTACACTATTCTTTGCTTCAACAAATCAAAAAGTTCTTTCTTTCCATGGGTTTAATGGTAATTTACTAATAACTTTTTGTAACAACTCAAATTACATGAGTCATTAAAATTTACATGAAATAGAATATAATATTTTTGGCAACATACTTTATGCCTCAAATTCCAATATTTTTATCTATTTATTAGACCTTGGTATGACTCATTTTAGATTATACTCTAGCTTCGATACCAAATTTTGTCGAATCAGTGTGTATGTTCATAAAACTCGCATCCAGCGATCAGAGTGTGTGTTCACATATAATAGCTCCAGAAGTTGAGGATGTAGTTCTCGAGCTAGCTAGAGATTGCCTAAGTTGGTAGATTGTAGCAGTGTTATTCTGCTTGTTATCTGACAGTGAGGATGTGATTATTTATGATGATGCCAATCAACATGGAAGTCATCAATGTGTTGCAGTCTGTTGTTAAAAAGCTTGCATTACCTGTTTACCATCAATCCTAGAGAGTGCATTCTTTATGATCTTTTATCTTTCTTTTTATGTATCTCAGTTATCTTCATCTCACCATGCTAAGTAAAATATATTACGAGGGTGTGGTTTCTACAAGTGATTTGTGCCCATCTAGTTCGAGTATTCTGAGACATCCGGAATCGAGAATATCTACTGCCCGTGGAGGTGAATTTTACTGATGCCATTACCTGTTTGTTCTGCTGGCAGGCTACAGTTTTAGCTTAACATGGATACAACATGAAGGTGGAGAAGGCGAGTTGATGTATCATGTTTCTTCGCTAGGGACACTAGAAAGGGTAGCTGTGGACTGGATGAAGGACGACATGATGTTCAGCACAGCCATGTGTCATGTTTTCTTCGAGAGGGTATCGCGAGTCGTCGGACGCTGTTGATTGGATACCGTCGAGCCTTGCATCGGTAAAGAAAGCTTGTGTTCTAGCCACATTCCCGGTCTGATAGGGTTCCAATCCAAGACACCACATTCCCGGTCTGATATCAGTGACCTCTTCAGCAACTCCACAAGACAGCTTGTCTTGTGAGAATGTACTGTCAAACGTGTTCGTCCATATTTTTCTTGGCTTTGTGATCGTATTTATTAATTATCCCTCTTCTGCTGTTGCTTCTGGATTCATCTTGTGATCTGTTAGGTTGTAGATGAATGCTGTGTACTCTGTTCAACATCTCAGATTGAGCCATAGTTTGTTTACTTATGTTATATATAGCTAAGATGCATGATATAGGAAGTTATAAATATAAAACTATATAAAATTGTTTGAGTAGACTGTTACATTTGGGGATGAGAAGTACAAAGCCACATGTTGGGGTTATAAATGTCATTAAATAAAGAAAATGATTACCTGGGAGATGAAATAATGGGAATACTTTTCACATTAATGTTAGTCAATTTTATCCAACATTTATCCTTAATTTTTTTAATTTCTAGCACATTCTCCATATAAGTGGTTATAATTGAAATTTAATTATAGGGCAAATTTCTTAAAAGGACCTCAAGTTTTTACTGTTTTTTAGTAGGTGTCTTTTTTTTTTTGTTTATTTTTATGAAACATCATTTTTTTTTCTTCTAAAAGATGATATAATCATTTTGATGATAAAATCAATCGATAAGTGTTTATGAATTGATATATGTTTTGAGTGACGCAGGATACTTCGATCAGGATGAGACAATTAAAGTAGGAAGATTCAGGTTGGGCCGGAGAAACATGTCAGAAGATTGGACGTTGTGCTGAAGGATTGGTCAACGTATCGATAGAAGGCTTCGGGCCATGGATTTGGGCATCGGGCCAAGAAGAGCGGATATTGCGCAAAGGATATCGGAGTTGCGGAGGTCAACTAGCCGATTGGGTAATAAGCCGCAAGAGAGGATGATGCGCCGAAGAATCGGACGAAGCATCGATGGACCAATGACATGCTGGACGACATGATTCATAGTAATAATTGTCTAGATCGAAGTGTGTTTTTATGTGTGCATAATTAACTACGATAGCAAGGCATGAAGCAAAATAAAGTCTCGGAGTCAAAAACGTAATTTCGTTGGGAGTTCGAGAGTTCGTTGGAAGTCCGGACGTTCGTTGGAAGTTATGCTGAGAAGTCCCAGAGCTTGCTAGAGAAGCTCGTCGGAACTCAAAGAAGATCGTCGTGAAGTCCAGGAGCTTATCGGGAGTCCGTTGGAACATTACCAAGTGATCATCAGAAGTTCGCTGAAAGATCACTGGAAGCTCGCTGGAAGAAATCAGACTTAGTTTGCTTAGAATATATCTTAGGAATTGTAGTTAGTACATAATTGGAGTTGGGATTGGGAGGTAATCCCATCAACTCTATTAGGGGCCAATTGGGTCCGAAATTAGGCTGGTTTGGGCCGGATTCAAGGCCCAACCAAGATGCTGAAACTTGGCCGATGGTGGCATCGCCTGGGAGACTCAGTCTCCCAGGTGGTCTGGGCAGTGGTACCTACCCTGTCAGGTGGTGGTACCACTAGAGCTCGATTTTCGAGCTCTGTCAGACGGTGATACTGTCCAATGTCAGGATGCCAAGCGGTGGTACCGCCCGTACCCAGGATGAGATGTTTTTAGGCTCCAAGTTTGAATCAACTTGAAGCCTATAAATACCCCTCTCATCCCTGGTTAAGACACACAAGTATTGAGAGTAAAGAGAAAAGAAACTCTGCCATAATCTTGTATGAAACTCCTCTCAAAGTTCTAAGTATTAGAATAGTTTGAGAGTGGGGGTGTAAGGGTTATCTCCTAAACCTGGTAAAAGGAGAAAGAGTTGTAAGAAGAAGGTTGATCTGCGCCTATTAAAGGAAGATCGATAGTGGATGCTGGTGGCCTCGACGAAAGAGGAATCGGTAGAGTAGATGTAGGTCACAACGATCGAACTACTATAAAATCGGTATGTTCTTCTCTGGTTTGCATTTCTATATTTGAATAATTTATTTTACTATAAACCTCTTAACTTGCTTTACATCCACTATGCTCTTCCGTAGTGATCTGCGTTTTGAGTGACATAGGATGCTTCGATCAGGATGAGACAATTAAAGTAGGAAGAATCAGGTTGTGCCGGAGAAACATGTCAGAAGATTGGATGTCGCGCCGAAGGATTGGTCGACGTATCGACAGAAGGCTTCGGGCCATGGATTTGGGCATCGGGCTAAGAAGAGCGGATATTGCACCAAAGATATCGAAGTTACGGAGGTCAACTGGTCGATTGGGCAATAAGCCGCAAGAGAGGACGATACGCCGAAGAATCGGATGAAGCGTCGATGGACCAATGACATGCTGGACGACATGATTCATGCTTAGTAATAATTGTCTAGATCGAAGTGTGTTTTTATGTGTGTATGATTAACTACGATAGCAAGGCATGAAGCAAAATGAAGTCCCGGAATCAATAACGTAATTTCGTTGGGAGTTCGAGAGTTCGTTGGAAGTCCGGACGTTCGTCGGAAATTCTACCAAGAAGTCCCAGAGCTTCTCGGAGAAGCTCATCGGAACTCGCCAAAAAAGATCGTCGTGAAGTCTAGGAGCTTGCTGAGAGTCCGTTGGAACATTACTAAGAGATCGTCGGAAGTTCGCCGGAAGATCACTAGAAGCTCGCTAGAAGAAACCGGACTTATTTTGCTTAGAATATGTCTTAGGAATCATAGTTAGCATATAATTAGAGTAGGGATTGGGAGATAATCTCATCAACTCCGTTAAGGGCCAACTGGGCCCGAAGTTAGGCTGGTTTGGGCTAGATTCAAGGCTCAACTAGGATGCTGAAAGCCTGGCCGGTGGTGGCATCACCAGGGTCCGCGGTGGCACTGCCAGGGAGACTCAGTCTCCTAGGTGGTATGGGCAATGGTACCGCCAGAGCTCGGTCTCCGAGCTCTGTCAGGCGGTGATACCGCCTAGTGTCAGGATGCCAAGCGGTGGTACCACTCATACCCGGGATGAGATGTTTTTAGGCTCCAAGTTTGAATCAATTTGAAGCATATAAATATCCCTCTCATCCCTAGTTAAGACACACAAGTATTGAGGTAAAAAAGAAAGAAACTCTGCTGTAATATTGTGTGAAACTCTTCTCAAAGTTCTTAGTGTTAGAATAGTTTGAGAGAAGAGTGAGTGTGGGTGTAAGGGTTATCTCCTAAATCCGATAAAAGGAGAAAGATCCGTAAGGAGGAGGTTGATCTTCGTCTATTAAAGGAAGATTGATAGTGGATGCCGGTGGCCTCGGTGGAAGAAGAATCAGTAGAGTGGATGTAGGTCACGACGACCGAACCACTTTAAAATCGGTGTGTTCTTCTCTGGTTTGCATTTCTATATTTGAGTAATTTATTTTACTACAAACCTCTTAACTTGCTTTATATCCGCTACGTTCTTCCGTATGTTTTCAAGCTATCTTTACGAAAATGCTTTCAAGTTAACCTCTCTTCGAAATAATTTATGTCAAAATCAGTTTTTAGATATCATCGACTTCCTATCCAGTTGATAGTAAAAAAAAAAAAAAACAAATGAGAATTGAGGATAATAATAAATATGATGACGGGGAATAAAAAGCAATCTCCCTTTCACATCAACTTCCTATCGAATATCACGAAGTGAGGACAATAATAAATATAACGATGGAGAGTAAAAAGTCAAACGAAAATGAGAAGAGAGACAAGGACAATGAGACGAAAACGAAAAGTCACATGCCACAACATGATTGAATAATGGAGGAATACAATCAAAGTCAAGAGTAATTTTATCTTTTAGAAAATAATAAACACTTTGTGGGAATAAATCAAAATGAGAACTTAAAAAATTAGAACTTTGAATTTTTTTAATTTACCCTTAATTATATACAATTGAGCAAAAATATAGCAAACTCTAAGATATACAATCTCTAACTTGCTTATAGATGACAAAACAAATAAATTTTTGGATTGGTTGAAAAATCACAAGCAATGTAACTTTTCTCTCTGCAGTCTCATGAGCACTTTTAAGCCATCCAAAACAATATTTTCTGATGAAAACCACCACTCAAATATAGATATGGTGCAAACCATCTACGGAATTATACCACAAAATATTGTTTCCAATGTCTCTTAGATTGTTGCTGATTTTAGGACGGCTTGTTTAAGATTAAAACATTCATACACTGCACTCAATTTACGTGGGACACAGAACAATGACACTACATAACACCTTATCATCAACTCCACTGACTTCTCTACACCTTTTTGTTTGAAGGACTACAAAGAACTACAACAGCAGCCTTCTAACTCTATACAAAAGGTACCCTGTTCCCTGGAGATGGATTGCTACTGACAAAGTAGCACTCAGACGATACTCAACGAGGCTGCTGGATTATACGGCGAGGACTGCACTTTGGGCTCAGGAGCTGCTTAGGTTTCTCCCAATATTTTGCTGGTTCTAGGATTGGTCTGGTGCCCTTCTTTGGATGTTTCAAGCCCAGGCTCTTTACCTCTAGCTCTTCATCACTCAGAAACCCTGTTCATAAGAACACAGTTGAATGAATAACCACCAAAAGAGTTTTATATCTAGTTATTAAGCATGATTAGATATATCTCTGGATGACATATGGTCAATTACCATTACAGAATATCGTTTCTTTCTCCAGGGCTTTTGAAATTTGATCTCCAAACTCGAGATACAAAGCTGCATAGTCAAGCTCGGCTTCTGGAATGGATAATTCATCAACAATTCCAAGATCAAAGGAGTCGGGCAGCAGGTTGGTCACATCCACCTCATCATCAGCATCAAAGGTTTCTTGATCTTGGTGCTGATGGAACCAATGTTCACGGAACCATGTGGTTGTCTTCACCAATTCCCACCATTCCGGTGAAAAATCTTCCACCTGCTGAAATGCCATCGGGATGAAGAGTGGAGCATTTGGGTTTAGTGTTGATTTGCCTGCCGCTCCTGAGGGCACTGCCATAGGACTCATTGACTCCTGGTTGTGGCCGCCCTTTCTGATTACAAAATGATGAATTAAGCTAATTTAGAAAATTTTATTCAATAACACAGTACCTCCTATTTCCAAATGCCATCGGAAAGGTTGAATGGCTACAACTAAGGTGCCTTTTGTTTCCTCGACATGATATAATAAGATTATTTAGAATATTTTTATTTGACAATACGGTACCTTCTTTTTCTTATGTAATGCCATTAGAATGATTCGAAGTTTGTGACTATGGTGCCTCTTACTTCCTACTATAGTGCCATTACAGTGGCATCGCGTTTGTAAGTACCTTATCAGTTATTCTTTAAATTTCATCTACCAGTTAACAAGCATTAGCAAACTAGTTTTCTGGAAGTCAGACACATAATCTACTCATTTATTCTTCTTGTATATCCAATAGTGGAATTCGACTATTGCAGTATTGTTTCCTTATCAATACAAGAAACCAAATCTATACCAAATATGGTGTTGGAAGAATACTCGGTCATAAAAGGGGAATAATATAAATTCCTAAAAACCAAACAAGAAAAAAAAGATTCTACAATAAACCTATTTAAAGTCTTAGTTTGTTTAAGTTTACACTTAAAGCTCAAGGTCCATGGACAACAGTTGGCTCTAACAAATGAAATCCGGCACCTATTTGTCTCTTTTACTCGTCTAAATTGCTCGTTTCAAAAGTTCAAACTAACAATCCAAAAGGCAAAATACAAATTTGAAGCTCAAGCGCAAGATAAATTGACAATATAATCTACCTAACAAAAGTTGGCACTTTGCCCTTTTTGCCAGCTCTAAAAAAGTTAATCTAAAAAATGAAAGAATCCAAGTTATTATTTTCCCGTCATCTACTTCAAGATGATGGGAAGCATAATTGACGGATCTAATTTTGGTTAAAAATTAAGCAATTCCAAGAGAATCCAAAAAGGCATTCTTGTTCGTGGATCATAAAGTGCATAGGTATTGTTTTCTGAAGGCAAAGCAACAATCTTTCCGCATCTGCCCTAAAACACGAAGTCTGAGGATTTGGTTTATCGACTGATGGACGTATCGAAAGTCGTATTCCATCATCCGAAGAGAAGTATGGAGTGAAAGGGAGAGAATATGCAAAAACACCTTACTTGGAAGCCCTAAGGACAACTCAATTCAGGGATCTGGCAAAGCAGTCTAGCATATCCTCATGGAAAGAGCAAAACCGAGATCAGATCATCCAGATCTAACAAAAATCGCCAAATTCAGGAGATCACGGGGACATAAAGCGAAGAGTCTGCCGAGCCCACAACATTTACATCAGGTCGTTCAACACACAGATCGAGAAAACATCCTGCTTAATTTCGGAAAGAACCCTACAAGCCTGCAGGCACGCATGCTTGCAACAACAAGATGTAAGATATGTATACCTTCTTACCGGGGGATCCCCCTGCCCAAAATCTCCGGAGACTGTGATGGGTTGTTGGAAGAGAGGTCAGAGTTCCCACCGCTGGCTTCGAGGAGGCGAGGGAAGCCGTCAATTTATAGAGGGACAAAGTGGCGTCCCGAAGCACTAGTTCGGATCTACGAAGCTACGCTTCGGTACACGGCCGCGTAGACCCACTCGCCCACTCGCGTACAGTTTGCCCTCTTTGTTTCCAAAATATGTTCTCTTACCCATTGTGGGTCAATACAATAATTACCTCTCCTCTAACTGGAGAATCGTGTAGACCACGTGTTTGTCTAGTGTGGGCTCCACACAAGCGTATAGCCCGGTACGACTCTGCGTAACAACGTAAGGGGCAGCAAACTTATTGCTAATATATATAGCTCATCATTGAGCTTAAATTTTAGATTTTTTTCCGAAAAATATCCGTATTTTTATAAATCTGTAATAATATTTTCTTAATATCTAAAATATTATTTATTTGACCATTATTTTTTTTATTTTCTTATAGACTTATCAACTGATTCAATTATAATGTTTTTTATATTATGTTATAATATTTTCAATGATATCAAGAAAACATTATAAAGTAATATATAATATTTTTGATAAAATTAAAATTACTATAATACAGTATAAAATATTATAATAGGCAAAATGATAAATAATGGGTGACAAAATATACTCGAAAATTAAGAGGGACTTACCATGAAAAAAAAAAGAAAAAAAGAGAGTTTTTTCTTCCAAATAAAAATCTTCAATCCAATTACTGATGCAGCTAAATCTAGAAAATCTTAATTTCCCTTTGAGTGCCTCCTTAATTCACGGAAAGAAGCACTTAATATTTGAGGCAAAAATAGACAATGTTACATCATCGAAATCTTCAATCTAACTTCAACTCTGTTCCAACGGTGGTCGAGAAATGCTCGAATCACATCGAGAGATGAATGCTGAGAGAGATGGAAGCAGCAGGGAAATGCATCCAAGCAACCTTACTATCATAATATCAATCAATCAATCAGTTGTTTATGTCGACATCATAATCGAATTGTGGACAGCCGGCCAAAGATTCAAAGATAAAGTAATGATGGGAGTGATGGATAGGAAATGACACGGAAACTGAGTCCTATTTGTCCATCTGATTCACGAAAAAAAAAGGCTGATTCTTTGTCATTGAACTTGTTACTCACTTATATTATTTTCAATTCTTTACGAGCACATATATTAATATTTTCATAAAAAATTATTTGGTCGGTCAATCGGTTCGTAAATACGAGGAATTCTCTGTTTTGAGTGATGGGTGTACTTGTACGATTTTATTCTTTCGGAATATGTGAGTTCAAAAGGTGCCTTTGAAAATAAGGAAGACCCAATACACTTATGAGCCCTTGATTCCGAAGATAACATAAGGTCATTTAATCTCACATTAGTTGAGAAGTATTAAAACCAATGACTCATAAGTCTGTCAGATCTCCCTTACCCTCAGAGGTGCTTTTGGAGTTTACATATTCTGAAAGAATAAAACCGTGTGGGTACGCCCATTACTATAATTCCTCACAAACTTACAGGCCGCACTAATGACCAATCGACGAAATGATCCCTTATCATATTCTATAAAATATTACTCATATTTACAAATGGTAATAAAATTTATGTTGTTAAAATGAAAATATTAAGATGAGTAATGTATATAATAGTTAAAATAGGTGAAATATTTAGTATTGATGGTACAAATAGAAAATAAGTGTTTTCTTTAATTTAACTAAGGATATTACTTAGCTTGACATGAATAAAAGCATAGCTGACCTTAAATAACTGAGATATTATATATTCATTTGACACATCACAATTCGGATTCACTTTTCTTACTTTGAGAGAAGTATATGCAATAAACAATAACTAATATTTTTTCAATAGAAAAAAAAATTATTTTCCAATTGTCTTTCATTAATTTCTCAGCTCGTAGAATATAAAATCTATAATAAAATTATAGAGGTAGTCACTAAAGCTGATAAAAGAATCAAATAGTTTATATTAATGTATTATTGTACATTCTGAATTTGAATAATAATTTTTATTTTTAAAAAGATAAGCATAAAAAAGTCAAAACATTATCATCAAAATGGTTGTAGGGTCAAACAGGACTTGAAAAAAATCCACAATAATTAAAGCACTTGCACTAATAACATGCATTGCACCTGAATCCATGCACAATATGATGATGACAACCAAAGATGTTTCAATGGTGAGGTGACATGTTCTAGTGTGGCATAGGCATAATTTATGATCTAGAAGGTACCATGAAACCTAAAGGGAGGTGGGAGGGAGCACATGGTTTGGGTGCTAAATTAAAGACCTTTGACACCCTTTTATCTCACTTTGGACCAAAAAGAAGAGTCTTTGTCATGGGGATAACTATAGTCTATGATTGACACTGATCCACCATGTGGTGGAGAAGAGTGGTTGGGTGACATGAGAGCCATAAGTTGAGTGAGTGTGTGTGTGTGTGTCATCCTTTCAATGGCCCAACAACACATTTTCCACATCCCTTACAGGCCATGATGAGATGAGGTGTGGAGTTTTCCTTGGTGTGTTGTCCCCACAAAGATAGTGGAGCCCTGCTAATGCCATCATCATTATGTTAAATCCTAGTTTTAAGGATTGTGTGAGGGTTTGCTAGTGATGGTTTGTCTATGATGCCTATGGTTGTCTATGATTGCTATAACATAAAAATATGATCATTATTGATAAAATTTTAGATTAGGTAATAACTAATCCTAAAAAATTAAGTAGTTAGAATATGACCTAAATATATTTATAAGCCTTATAATCAGATATCTTACGAACATGTCGGTTTAGACTTGACGTACGAACGAATAAAGATTAAGTACATTGTGCAAAACCAAATGAGAAAGGAGTATTAAATGAAAGTTTTAATTGAACACTAAGCGACTTAAAAAGGGATGATTACTTACTAATTTTAAAAAAATAAATTAGTTTACGCTTAGACTTTACGTGCGAACTAAACATAAATACATGACATAAACCCAAATAAAAATATAAGTATTTAAAAAATTAATTAAATATTAGATGAAATAAAGAGCATGATTCATACTAACAATTTGTTTAGAAATGATGATAAAGTTTTACAAAATGACCCAATGTATCTATAAGCTTTAACAAGAATGACCTAAAAATTCAGCTCTACTAATGCAGGATAAAGAGCAACTCAAATTTGCTTCCAACATGAACTAAAAACGAAAAAACAAAAGCTTTGAATAAGATGGGCTTTCAATCTGCATTACACAACCAATGCATAATGTAAAATCACATTATTTAACATGAGACAACTCCTCTAGTTGTTTCTAAGGTAAAGATCAATTATAGAATTCCATGAGCAACAACAATGAACTATATGTGTTGCCATTTGCATTTCAATTGGTTCTCTGTTTTGTTGTCATGTTAAGTTGTTTGTCTGTCTTATAGATAAACTTTAATGGTTTACATGTCAAGAAAACAGTATGTCACAGCAGGAAAATGAATATAATGACAACAGGATAATACAAGGTGACAAAATTATTTCACATACCAACATATATTAGTCAAGGCATCTGCTACAATGAGTAAAACTCAGGTTTTCTGCACATGCTATGAAAATAGAGCTCTATCATCCAGCTAATTAGCTTCAGCAGCTTTAAAGAGCTCCTTCCATTTCTCAGGATCACTTCCAGGTCCATCTCCCTGTAATCCACAAATTTGGTAATTTATGGAACACTAGCATTTGATGACATCAACATGCAAAATTGTGAACAATGATTTAGGCCTCATTTCATGACATTTTCTTTTTCTTTTTTAATTTTTTACTTTCTGTTCTATAAGAAAATGTCTGAAAATTTAAATACATTTTTTTTATATTGGTATTTTGTTTATGGTTTTATTAGGATGCTTCTTAATAGTTTGCTTTTTCAATCAGGAAAAGAAAAGAAAGCCAAATGACTGAATGGGATTTATATCCCTCTTCTCCATTAATAACTTGATCCCATACCTTTCTCTTGTCATTCAATTTCCCTTCTCCAGAAACAATTGTTTCCAATATAAAGATAATCCAAATAAAACAGAACAAATAAAAAAAGAGAGTTCTGTTTCACTGTTCTTTAAAGCATGAAAAAAAATGAGCAAAACAAATGCAAAAAAAAAAAAGGTAGGAAAAGAAGAAATGTGAACATACATATGTTAGTTGTCTGTTTGTGACCCTCACGATTCCATTGATTTCAGGTTTGAAGAGCTTGAAGGTTCAGGGAGTAGATTTTAGTTAGTTATCAAGGAATGAGTACCTCAATTGAGTTGATTTCGTAAATTTGTCCTTTGGTACACTCTATGTCAAGAGCTTGTATGCAGGCTTCGGCAACTACAAGTCTGCTAACCTCCCCAACAAGCTCGTCTCCTGAAAGGAAATGGAAAATTTTGTTAACAAAAGAACCAACAGTAGTCAAGGATGGATATTATTCAAGCAGAAGAACTTCTTTCTGTAATACAAAAAAGAAATTCTAGCAATCCACATGTAACACGAGACCATTAGACCAGAAAGTATTATCTTCGTAATCGCAACAAACGATTTCCAGGAATAAAGCAGCAACAAATTAAAAATTAACTGAGCGGAAAATAAACAATTTCCTAGCATGTTACAGATACCCCAGGAACACCGTGAGAAATCCCACATATGGGAAAACAGCTTGGAAGAACTCATTTTTCGCATACAGCAAGCCAACACAGACTTGCCGGGCAGGTAGAGATAACCATAGAGATACCACCACAAATAACCCTGATGAAATGGTAGAGTGAAGATGGCCAATGTTCCCAGTCGAAGACATTATAACAGTTATATGTCTTAACATAGTTCAAAGCAACCGAAGAAATTCTGAGAAGTTCCAGATTTCATTCTGTCTCATAAGTCAGATATCAAATACCTTGACTTATCACGACTGCACGTCGTTTTCCTGCAGTTGCTTTAAGCAACGTATTTAGATCATAGGAAGTATATGGTCCATCAGTCAATCTCCCAGCCCTGGCAATAGCATAATGACTTTGTCAAGAAACAGACTACAAGATCTCATTATATCAAAAACAAACTAGCAGAAAATTTAAAGGACAAACTTTCATATATGTAGACGACATATAAATCACCTGATAATGGTGAATGGTAGGCCAGAACTCCGCACAAAATCCTCACCCATCTTCTTAAACTTTAGAACACCAAAGAGATTCATAATGCTGAAAAAACCATAAGCAAGGATACATGAAACATGTCTATAGCCATCTTTAAATCAGCAAGGAGGATCAAATGGAGGTATCATTTTTGCCTTATCTTACTGATTCATCTCATCATATCCCTGAAAATCATCTGAGTTTATATACTTGGGTTGGCAGGTAGAAGCAATCAGTTTTCACTTCATTTGGTTACAAATTGTTGTCAAAAAGGAGGTCAGCAGTTGCACAGACTTAAAATAGATAAAATAGCTAGCATCACGGGTGTTTAAGAGAACTTTCCTGAAGATAATAGAAACTGTCCTTATCCAATATATTAATGTATTCCACATATATTTGATTTATTGATTTCAAGAATTATCAAATGTTCTTTCCCAACTATTTAATGGTGTTTAAGAGAACTTTCCTGAAGATGATAGAAACTGTCCTTATCCAATATATTAATGTATTCCACACATATTTAATTTATTGATTTCAAGAATTATCAAATGTTCTTTCCTAACTATTAAATAGAAATGCATACCTCCATGGTAACTCATTGTACTTTGTAACACCAACTGATGACACAAGAACGAGCCTCTCAATAGTGGGAGGAAGTGCCAAAACAAGATTCCGTATTCCCTCCCAATCTTCAAATGAAGCAACATTTTAACGTAAGCACAGCTTAGTTTGTAGAAAGATATTTGGTCTTGCAAAGTTAAAGAACATTTCTTATACTAAACAAGACAATTATGAAACAATTAGACTTCATCACCCAAGGTGTTTTTGCTAGATGCACTGACATCTAAGAAGACTTTCATGTTTGCTTGCTCCAGGTCCCAAATCGGAAATCTTAGTTAAATTTTTTTACTTTTAGTGTATGTCAAAAGAATTTCTTTGTCGAATTCATACCCAATAATCCTCCCATTTGTATCTTGAAAACAATCCACTGCTAGCAGAATTTTGCATTAACATATTATTTTACCTGTACAGCCTTATAAGTCGAAAGTTTCTTTCATCAGTAAACTAATGCAATCGGCGTAAATCAGTAAAATCTCTGAAGCAAAAGTCTATGTCTCAAATGAAAATGTGGGATGCAGACAGGCATAGTTCCTACCAACTCGTTCAGGAGTGTTGTCTCCATCCCAACGCTTAGAAGGGAAAGCTGTAGTCCCAGTGCAGCAAATAACATGCGTCACTCCCTATGAAACAAGAGTCCTATAATTTGATTTTAAGTATGATAAATAGAAGTTCCTTTTTAAATGAATCTTCAAAACCTAGAATCTTAAAGAAAACTGAAACAGACCTCGAAAATGGTTGAATCTAAGTCACTTGGATTTCTTGTATCACCTTTATGTACCTGTTGCAGTCACCCATTCCACATTATACCAGCAGGAAAAAATGAAAAAGAAAAGAAAAGCTAAGAAACGAGCTTAGATAAAAGAACAAGTTAAGTGGAGAAAATGACCCCAGTACCTCGATAATGTTCTCATCTTGTATACCGAACAAAGATATTGCTTTTGAAGGATCTCTAAGAAGTAGGCGTGATTTTATGTTTCTACTGAGGAGGGATGCTACAATTAACTGTCCTGCATGCAAATTATTGCAATTAATCAATTGTAAAGCACTGAGAATGCCAAGACTTGATTTGGTTGTACCTCAAGATTAACATTAGCCCTAGAAGAGACAATTTCCCTGCAATGGCTTTCCATTGCTAAGTGTTTTAAATACACACTGAAGTAAGTGTGTGGAAACTGCAGATGAAGTATGGAGTAGAAATTTATAGTTTCCACTACTCTAAGTCAAGTGTGTTCCACCCATATAGCTGAACAGATTTTAAGTGTTTGCTGTATCAGATGATGAACTAGATTTCCTTTTCCTGAAAATCATTATAAACCTCAAAAACAGAGGTAGTAAATTATAAGGAAATTCCAATCATGTACAAAATGAGAAGGAATAATATAAACTGCTTCTAGCATTTCCAAATAATGATCTTAAAGGCAACATCAATTAAAGGTCTGTTGTAGCATTGTTAGCATTGTCATTCTCATCAATTTAAATTGTCACAGAAACTCTCAACAAGATACAGATATATGGAAATCATGCACCAATTATGCAAAGAAGTCCAAGAAGAGTTTCTTCATGGTTCAAAAAAGTGGACCAGGCTCCCTTTTCCGAGATATACTAGTGCTTAAACCATTCAAAGTCCATTATACAAATCTTTTAGTAATAAGAAGCAGAAGAATGTTAATATGATTATGTCTTTCGATGTTTTTAAAAGATACATTGTCAGATCATACTTCATTCTTGAGATGTGTGTAAAAGGTTGCAATAAAAGGTCTATCATTGATAAGAAGCCAATAAAGCATTAAACCGAGTTTAACTCAATAGCCAATAAATTCATGACAAAGGCCCCGCTAACCATTCAGATATCTTATCAAGGAAAAGAATTTCTATCAGTAAATAGTTAAGATCAGTTCATGATTCAAAGACTTGGTTATCCTATTGGTATGAGTTCTGTTATCTGTGCAACGAATTTACATCATACCGAGAATCTTTCAATACAGTAAAGACTTGATTCTCCAAGATATCTTTCACTACAGTTGAAAAATCCATTTCAGTGAATTTTTGCAGGATTTGATATCCAATAAGTATAATTTAGTGGCCATAAAGACACATCATATTTGGCTACTACAGTCTTCAAAGAGAATAATCCCCGACAAAGGATCTCTAAAACTCTTTCAACATTAAAAAAGTTGATCGAATCAAGCAATCTTGACTCACTAATCAGCTTTGCTACAAGCGAAAGAAAGCATATCAATCAGAAAACTATATTAATGTTAACGTCCCCGATTAAACTTTCATATATGAATCTTCCAAATACTATAGAATGCAAATAACAAAGACTCTCAAACCCGAGATGGTATCCATGTTGGTCGTCATCTAACTAAATCCCTTGCTCCAACAATAATTAGAATTGCTATGATAAGGTAAGGAAATCAGACCGCGTACCTACTCCACCAGTCCCACCGATGACGAGAACAACCTTGGAAGAAGAGGAGGGTGTTTTGGAGACATCTGCTTCAGCTAGGGCCGAGGGAAGCGTCTCTTCCTCCTTCACTGCATGAACGACGCCCCTCCCACCACTGCGACGGCTCAAAGAAGTGACACCCGAAGGAAGAATGGAACAACCACAACCTGCGAGATTGGTTGATGGGATTGGATGAGGAATCGGCCATCTTTGAGAACCCTTGTGAGATTTCTGAAAGGGCAAAGGAAGCTGAGACGAGAGCTTGAGAGCCATCGCAACGGAGAGATGAAAGGGCGCAGATTCGAAGCAAGCTAGTGGTGTAGTTAGTAAGATGAGCGGCCACGGTTCTAATGGATTTGGCACCCCACATAACATGGCAGCGGCGTCAAGTGAATGGTTGCCCAAATTTCTAGTCTTCGAACACTATGGGAATTTTCTGGTTTCAGAGAGACATGTCGACGGGTCTGAACGAGAAAGGATTAAGCTCGATCCATATCTGACCCAATTCTAAACGGGTCGGATACGGTCAGGTTGAGAGCCCCGTAGACGAATCAATTCGGATATATGGCCAAATAATCGATTCAGTTGAGAATCCAAGTTTTTACTTTTTCGCACATATTGATCCTTTTTTTTAATAATATTACCTTTATGCCCCTCGTTGTTGCTCCCATCATCCTTCCTCTTGTTATGCTTTTCGTCTCTTTATTGTTTTATTTTTCATTCTAAGACTTTCATCTTGTTTCCTCTTATGTTGTTAATAGACACCATATCTCTTTACTTTCGGATCATTTTGATCTCCATATTTTATTTTTCGTCGCTCGCCTCATCGCTATCAAGTAATAACGATGTCTTACGAAGGTAACAAAAGCCCCTTCCCTCTTTTCTAATACTTTTTTATTATCAAAATATCTTATTTCACTCTTTTGTTGCCACTCATTTGCCAACAAAATGTTTTACTCCATCTTCTTTTATTCACTACATCCATAACTCGTCCCCTATGTCCCCTCATTTTCGTCATCATTCTAGTATCGTCTTCTTCAACATCCTCAATAGTCAAAATTTTTTTAATTAAAATTAATATATTTTTAAAAATACTATAAATTATAATAATTTTATTTCAAAATATGATAATACTTAACCTATTTAACTTCATTTAAAAAGAAAATAAATGCTAAACCAATTTAACTCAAATTGGATTTTCATAAGAAAATTTAAATTTCTTAATGAAAGGGACAATGTCGCTAAAAAAAATATTATTTTTTTTAAATTACCTGAAAAGTCTAATCTCGAAGAAGAGGAGATTAAACTCTAATCTTTCACAAAGCTTTTCTAGATCAAAAGATATCCGTTAAAATTGAGATAGAGATTATTAGTTTGAGGTTTACCCCCAAATTAGTTTTGTTCCTAATTGGGTTCGAATTGGCTCGACCACTCGTCGGTTCCAAACCAAATTAAAACAAACTTTGGGTAGTTTGATTTTAATTCTAAATCGATGATTCCGATTTTAAGCTAATTAAATATGATTAAAAATAAAATACCAATATGATATATCGTATAGTGTTAAAACTTTAAAGTTTAGTTTAGTTTGATTAAAATTTTTAAAATTTTATTTTTTTTATTACACTCATTAAAGATATACATCTTTTTTTAATTTCAAAAATAAAATTATAAATTATTTTTATATTTTTTAGAAAAAATATTTTTTAATTATTTTAAAATAATGAATTTAAATTCATTTCATAATAAAATTATTTATTATATTAGTTTTTTTAAAAATTATATATTTTTATTTTTATTTAATTTAAAAATAAATAAATAAAAAAAAAATTAATGGTTCGAACCGGAATCGAAACCGACCCTAAGCGGTTCGATTACCGTTTCGATTTTTGATTTTATAAAACAAAAAGCCATGTTTCTAAAATCAAACAGATGATTCTGCAACCAAAATCGACTCTTCCTATGCCGCCGCGGTCAGGTCTGACCCCAACTCTCCTCCGACAACGAGGCATAGGGATTAAGTTCTTGCTACTCACGCACAGTCATCTAACTTATCCAAAACTAATTAGAAATTATTCTAATAATGTTAACACGTAATATATTCTACTCGACTGTATTTGCACTCGACCGAGTCGGTAACCGACATAACTCGTACCGATACGGAATTCGACAAACCTCGTTTCCTACGCGTGTCCTAAGTCGTGCCAAATACAAGAAACCATCGAGGACGTTACGTAGGCAACCAACCTCCTTCACTTAATAACAGATTCCGTTCTAAATTACGCCAACCGGCTCGCCCTCGCCATCACCGCTCGTGACCTCCCGCGGGTCATTATTTATACCTCCTTGAATCATGGCCCAAATCAAAACGGAACCCGTCATCTTCTCCCACCTCGCAGGCTCTCCGAGTTCTCCCTGCAATCGGATAGTTATCCTTCCACCGCCGTTTCCATCACTCTCTATATATAGACTTCGCCGATTCATTCTCTCCTTCCTTTCCTCAGGATCCAATCCGAGCGTATAAGGAAAGTCTCTCTGGTTCGTTTTGGTCCCGCACTTCCTCTCGATCTCTCGCCATGGGTAAGATCCGATCCCTTTTCCGCTGCCACCGGTCCAAGCGTCCGACCGGTCACTCCCACTCGGAGGCCCCCCGCCCCGCTGCCCCCCCGGCTGCTGACCCCGGCGACTTGGAGCGAGTCTTCAACAAATTCGATGCCAATGGCGACGGCAAGATCTCGTCGGCGGAGCTCGCCGCTGTCCTTGAGATTCTCAGCGGCCAGCCGCCCTCCGAGGAGGAGCTCGGCCGCATGATGCGCGAGGCCGATGTTGACGGCGACGGATTCATCTCCTTCGCCGAGTTCGTCGACCTCAACACTGCTCCCGCGGCGCTCGAGGAGGACCTCCGCCTCGCCTTCGCCGTCTTCGACCTCGACCGCAGCGGCTCCATCTCGGCGGACGAGCTCGCCCACATCCTCGGCGGGATCGGGGAGGGCGCCTCCCTCGCCCAGTGCCGCCGCATGATCGACGGCGTCGACCGCGACGGCGATGGCCTCGTCAGCTTCGAGGAGTTCAAGGCCATGATGACCGCTGGCGGAAGCAGCGCCCATGCCTTTGCCGCCACAACTTAGGCGGTGGACTTCTCCAATCGAATCAATCTCGATCGAGGTGCGTAGCTCTCTCTCCTCCTCTTCCTCATCCCTCTTTCCATCTGGTCCGTTCCTTTCTCAGTCTCTGTTTCTCCTTCGTCTCTTTATAGAAATGGATGCTGGGATTGGGTAGACATGATGGTGTTAGTTGGAGTTGGAATAATTTAATTGTATCTAAAGCGGATCCTCACTTTTTTCTTTAATTTATTTCGATGGAGATTAAATTGGGATCCATTTATAGTTTTTTTTTCCTCCTTTTTCATTTTCTTATGTTTGCAGAAATATTGTCTTTGTTACTTGTTACCATATTAGTTCTTGTGGTTACTCAAGTTTAATCTGACGTTACAAAATTTCCGAACCCCCTATAGCAAAATCTTGGCATTTTGGTGCCTAATCAACTCATCCAATAATCACTAGAAATTTTGAGTATCAGTGATCAAGACACCAAGAAAGCAAGCCGAGAATCAGATCACATCCCTATGAGATTGAGATCTCTTAGATTCTTTGGATCATTTCGCATTTCGATCACTTGGGTTAATGGAATTATTCGCGTTTTCATTGATTTCGACTTTTTGTATCAAGATTTCATGAGATCCGATCCGATTTGTAAATCACAGGTTCGAAACTAGTTGGTCGATCCGATCTTTATCCTCAATTCTTTATTAGTCGATCAATACCAGTACTACACCGATCTCGACGTCGATAGTTATTTAACCACGAGAGATGTAGCAATTAATTTTTCCTTGTTAATGCTTATGCATTAAAGAGGAGAACGATAAAGTAGTTAGTACGGTAACTAAAGGAACCTTGCATTGATGGAAGTAATGCTTTCCTTCTAACACTTAGACGCGCATTCATAACACCCATGCAAAAGCTTCAAATGTACACGCCCAAACCAGGAAGTAGAGTTTGCTTAATTAATATACGATTGGCTCGTCGATATATGATGAGCAAGTAAAGCGCAGTAAAGACTCGCTGCACTCGGACGCTTCTCGAAACCGCGTGATCACTTGTTCACTTACGTGGTTCGACGAAGGCGAGGAGCCGACGGTTCATGACGACGGTGAACTCGACCTTGTCCATGAAGTCCAACTTGGGCTCCGATGGGTGCAGCTGCCACTCGAACGCCTGCACCATCCTAGCCACCATCAGGCTAATGTGTGTCGTCCCCATCGCCAGCCCCGGGCATATCCTCCTCCCCGCCCCGAACGGTATCATCCTTATCCCTGCCGATCCGGTGATGTCCGCCGTCTCCCCGCCCGTTATGAAGCGGTCCGGGTTGAACTCCAGCGGGCTCGACCACAGCCTGGGGTCCTCCGCGATCGTCGGCAGAAACAGCTCCAGGTTGGCGTCCGGCGGGATGTCGTACCCGCCAAGCCTCGCTGGCTCCACCGCCGCATGGGTCAGCGAGAAGTACGTTGGCGGGTGCTTCCTCAGTAGCTCCTTCACGAAGGCCTGCAAGTAGGGCATCTTTTCGATGTCACGGTCGTCGACTGGCCTGTCGCCGACCTCCGCAACGATCTCCTCGTAAAGATTGGCCTGGATGTTCGGGTCGTCGATGATGCGAGCCATGGCCCACTCGATGGCGGTGGAGGTGGTGTCCGTCCCACCGTTGATGAACTCCGAGCACAGGGTGACCAGCTGCGTTTCGGTGGGCGCCGAGTCGCGGCCTTCGACTTTGAGGTCGAGAAGGGAGTCCAGATAGGAGAAGGGAGCGGCGTTGGGCTCGAGGCTTGGGTCCTTTAAGATGGCCCGACGCCGGTTGATGAGGGCGACGACGGCCTCGACCTGCTCCTTCCTGATCTCGAGGACCTTCTTCTGGTGCTTGGCGTACAAGGGTCGGAGGAAAGGGAGGTAGTCGTCCATCCTGGGGCTGATGGTGAGGAGCACCCGCTTCATCATCTCGTCGATGCGCACGATGGAATCCTCGTCTAGCTGGACTCCGAAGGTCATGGAGAGAAGGATGGCGAAGACGGCGAAGCGGGCGTTCCGGAGGACCCACACGGCCCCTCCATTCGCCTCCGCCTCGGCGCGTAGGCGTTCGATGAAGCGGTCCATGGCGGAGGTGCGGGCCGGGCGAAACTCGCGGAGACGGGAGGCGCTCAGCATACCGGAAACCATGTTGCGGCGGAGTGAGCGCCACTCGGGGCCGTAGACGGCCGAGTTGACGGTAAACTTGTTGCAACTGAAGACAGAGCGGATGGTGGTCTCCGCAGGGCGCGAAGCGAAGAGCTGCCCCTTCTCGATGAGAGCCTCGTGGGCGAGCTCCGGGCTGGTAACCACGATGAGGGTGCGCGCGCCCATGCGGAGAGTGAAGATGGGCCCATACCGGAGGCGGAGGTCGCGGACGAGATGGATCATCGGCTTGCCCGCAAACGCCACTTGGAAGAGGTTGCCGACCAGTGGCCAACCCTGCGGGCCGGGGGGTAGTCTCAGCGCTTTGCCTCTCCTGTGACACCCAAGCATAACCAGCACAAGGAACGACAAGACCAAGGCCGAGGCCGTGAACAGGAGGTCAAAGTCAGGGGCGGCCATGGCGAAGACCATGGAAGAATCTGAGAACGAGCAAGCGTGCAAAGGTTAAGGGAAGAGGTTCACTGCATGCGAGGAGGAGAAAGGGATGAGCGCGGGATTTATAACGATGAGATCAGAATCAGATGCCGAAAAAACAGTTGCGAGGGATTAAATTGCACAGCTGTGAACCCTAAGCAAAACAAGTGGGGAAGAGAACCCATGGGTGGAGTCACGAAGTCACAAAGGCATCACACCGAACACCCCTATTACTTACTTATCCCCCTCCCTTTTACATCACATCAGGAGCTGCAGCCGCTAGTGCCTCTGTAGGGACTGTCGATATAAGTACAGACATACATGGAAGGTTGAAAAGAATAGTTCGCAGAAGCATTGCAAGGGGTAAAAGCAAGGAGACAATCGAAACAAGGGTAGAGTGGAAGCAACGTAGTCGTAGTGAGTGGTAGCATGGGCTCGGAAATGGCGAACGGGCTTCATGTTCGGCATTTAAGAGCACAAACTTTTGGGTGTGTGATTCAATGCATGGGGTCCTCATGGGAACAAAAGGCTAAGCCAACGCACAAGTGCTGCGGCCTGCATGGGCGAAAGTTGATGAAGTGCTCGACGATATTACTCCTCTAACTTTTAAGCTTGCCGCTATGTATCTCCTTTTAATGGCTACTGGACTTGGAAATCTCAACCACCCCTAATGCGTCCACAGTGGTCTCAGCCCGGACTTGGAAATCTATCATATTACTACGAGGTGACTGTCAAAAGGAACGAGTAAGAGGAGGTATGAACGATTTAAAGCAGAAACAACAAACAGTTGTGTCAAGGATGATTTGATGCAAGTTGTGTCAACATGTCTTCATTTAGTATAGATATAAATGTTTCTGTATGAATCAAAGTGGATGATGGTGCAATACTGTGCATCTTTGTGGTATGCACATAGCTTTTTGGCAAGGTAACTGATAGCATTAAGTTGCATCATAGTAGATATTGACACATTGAACAGTGTAATCAATGTTCTTAGGCATGCCATTTTGCTTACCATTTAATGTTATATTAGTGGTTCTCATGGAACTTGAGGATACACTTGGCTTGTTGATATGTAGGTTTAATGACTTCACTGATCTTAGTCTCCTTCTCTTTTTGACTGTTGATTTGCATGGTTGTATCATACCACAAGTATATATTTTGGATAATATCACTGTTAGTTATATAAAGAAAGGAAAAATATGCTCCTCCTCTCCATAGTCATTGACATTTGAAGCTTATCAAATTGAGCACCATAGTTTGCTAGGATGATTGTTGTATGTGGGAGTTACGTAGAACACTTTTATGCTTTCACTAAATTATTGTTGTAATCTGTGTGCCAAATTGTTATTGAAACCACTGACGTCATAAGTAGAAAAAGTGTTTCCTACTGAATCTAATTTGTAGATTATTAAAAACTACCTTAATATTTATGCACTGACATATGTTATAGAGATTGTCAGAAGAGGAATCACTTCCACTTGCTGCAATGTCTGCACCTCCTAAATATTAATTAAGTTGACAATATAACATTTATATCTTTTGGCTTTTAGATAATATGTTTTTGAATCCTAGAATAGTTTTAAATATTAAATAATCTTAAATAGTACTAAATCCATATTCTAAATTTTCATTATTAAATAGTAACTTGTACTTTGAGAGGGGGACTCCTAAATTTTGATGATGGGCTCAACTGATATATATATATATATATATATATATATATATATATATATATATATATATATATATATATATATATATATATATATA